CCTGAAAAATGTGACAGCAGAGTCAAACTGAAAAATTCCTTGAGATATACAAACCAACTGAGATCATTGAAGAATAAAAATATAATATTATAATCCCATTTATCTGATAAATAAATTGAATTATATTTTTAAAAATTCTCCACATACGGAAAACTTATGGCTGAATTGATAACTTAGAAAACATTTTGAAATAATACTAGTTAAATCTTAGGTTTTTCCAAAAATTGAAGAAAAGAAGCAGGCAGCAGTGTTGTAGCACAGCAGATAAGGCTACCACCTGCATTACCAACATCCCAAATGGGCACCAGTTTGGGGCTCCTCATTCCAGAGTAAAAGTCCTTACTCATTAAGCATTTTATCCCAGTTCTCTGTTCCCACAGTCTTTGTCGATTGCCAATCTGTGTTCTGTATGTGTTCCAAGGATTTGTTTTCTGACTAATGCATTTAAATGGAATCAAATACTGTGTGGCTTTTGTGTTAGGTTTTTTCAATCAGTACAATTTATTTAAGTTCATTCTTGTTATAGCACAACCACTATTTCATTCCTTTTTATAGTTGCCACTTCATGTCTTGGCAGCTCCAATTCCCATCCAGCTCCCTGCTTGTGGCCTGGGAAAGCAGTGGAGGATGGTCCGAAGCCTTGGGACCCTGCACCCAGCTGGGAGACCCAGAAGAAGCTCCTGAATCCTGGCTTCAGATCAGCTCAGCTCCAGCTGTTGTGGCCATTTGGGGAGTGAACCAGTTTTCTCCTTCTCTGTAAATTTGATCTGCCTTTCCAATAAAAATAAACAAATCTAAAAAAAACCCAAAAAAATGCACTTCTATTTTTTAAAACCAATATATAGAATATAAATTAATCTCTAGAGATGGAAAGATTAGTAGTTTTCTGGGGGAAAGGTAAATAGGTTAAAGAGGAGAAGCCAGTGAAATGAAGACTCACGAAGCCCATGAATATAATATGCTCGTTATCAAAACATCACATTGTCAACTTTAAACATGCTGGCCTATTATTTGTCAATGAAGCTACAATCACATAAAAAAAGAAGTCAGACATATTTGAAAAAAAAAACGAAACCTACTTCTATACCCTGAACTCTAGTCATTCTATTCCCAGGAAAAATAAACTATGCACAGATGCTCATATCAGCTTTCTTTGTAATACTGGAAATAACCTACGTCTCCATCAGCGACTGAATGAATCCATCCATTGTAGCCCTGTACGGATGTAGGGGATTAGCACTTAGCAACAGCAACAACAAAAACATACTCTCGAGACACAAAATAACAGCAATAATTGTCCAAAAAATTATGCTGAGTGAAAGAAGTCAAATGGTGCATGCGTCTCATTTTATTTATGAGGATTTCCAGTCAACAGAAGCTTGGAGTGAGTGCTAATAGAGCAAGGAGGGGTGGGATCTGGTGCCAAAGGGATGGGCATATTTACTGTGGTGACAACTGCCCAGGTGAACGCAAATGTGAAAACTTATGCCGTTGTGCACTTGAATTGTGTGCAACTTACTGCATGTCAGTTAGTGAGAAACTACCATCAAGTTATTCCACACAGGACCCATGCAAAATGCATGCCTAAGCTTCTCAATACTCAAGATGTCCTATGGCTTGCGAGTCTTCAGGTGGTCAGCAACGGGCATGACAGGATACCACCTCCACACCCTATCCTACCTTAACATCCTATTCTACTCTGACACAATCTGCCTGCAAAACATTTACTTATTTATGTTGGAAAGGCAGGTTTATAGAAAGAAGAATGTACAGAGAAAAAGATCTCCTCCCACTGGTTCATTCCTCAAATGGCTGCAGTGGCCAGAGCTGAGCCAATCTGAAGCCACGAACCAGGAACTTCTGGGTCTCCGATATGGATACAGTGTTCCAAGGCTTTGGGCCATCCTCCACTGCTTTCCAGGCTATGAGCAGGGAGCTGGATGGGGAGTGGAGCAGCCAGAACCCAAACTGGCACCCCTATAAGAACCTGGTACTTGCAAGGGAAGGATTAGCCAACCGAGCCATCGTGCTGGGCCCCCATTATCGGTTTTCTTTCTGCCACCCCTTATGAAATATGCTTTCAACTCTTACCTCCTTTAAAAGAAGAAAAAAGAGACAACTATGTCCAGTCAACAGGGTCCGATCTGCTGCATTAAAACCTCTCAGGAGTCCCACAAGCACTTACAAGCTGCTGCTTCCGATTCCATAGAATTTTTTATCTACCTCCTGATTCCACCCACACCCTCATTATATTGCCGATCTTCCCAGTGTGGCTGGGTTTGTGTTAACTTCCCAACAAGATAACACACTGCTTGAGGGCAAAGACTCACTGTTAGCCTGAGTATCCCTTGCAGTATGAAGCACGGGAGACTTGTGAGCAATAGATGCTGTGTAAGCATTTAGGGGGCGCACTGGATATCTGAGTTACTTCATTCTAGATTTGCTGGCAATGAGCTAAGTCAATCAACATGAGTAAGGATGTTTGAAAAACAACTCTTGGGCTTCCTCCTGATGACAATCTAGGCAATGTCTCAAAACAAGACTTGTATGTAAAATTACGGAAACAGTCCCCAATCTTTGCTGAGTTTTGGTGCGTTATTGGTGCCATTTTCAAATAATATGGACTATTTGATTTGTGAAACTCAGAAAATGCTAAGCCTGGACAGGCAAGCTCTTACAAAATGTTGAACTGACTCCAACGGTTTCTGCTACCTTCTCGAAATCAAGACTCAATGCCACCCATTGTCCGCATTAAAATCAATTTCTGATTCCTGATGAGGAATTGTTTATCATTTCAATACAAGATTGTTTGTTTTTTTTCCTTTTGGAATTACGCCCTATGGGTACCTGGACTTTTCTGAGGTCCGGGGTCCATTACAGCTGTCTGGTTTCACCTGTCAAAAGTCAGAGTTGAGCTTCAGTTAGCCTCAGACACAGTACACTGCATTCGTGAGCCACAGAATCATGACAGTATCAGCAGGTGCGTAGGGGAGGCGTTCTGTGGGTATTCTGAAGCCCGAGGATCCTTGTAAACACATGTGGTTTAAAGAGGCGAAAGCCTTAAGACGGAGAGCCATGCTCAAAGCCTGCTTTGGCAAGCATAGCTGAAGATCAGTGGGAGAGCCACCTGGACGCTGCAGTCATCCCTCCGTGTTCTCCTGCAGGAGGGAGGCCAGCAGATGGCAACCTTTAAGGAAGACTTACTGCCCTCAGTGTCATGGGGGCGATGAACTGTCCTACCTTGGAAAGGGGCCAGGCTGTTGGGGCCTAAGGCCTTTGCTCAGTGAAGAAATTGTGCACAAGGAAGACACTACTGAAAGCTTTGCCCATCCCCCAAAACACATGGGCAATGCAAAACCAAAATTATCCCAGAGGTTTTGCCTCAAACCCACAGGACCCTTCCTGTTTCACTCCCTGAAGAGAATTGCTGCGGACATCACACCCCACCACCCCCACCCCATCCATGCAGGTGGGACCTGGCTACCTCCCCCAGTCAGCAATAGAACCAGGATCATGAAACTCCAAGTGAGATGACAGGACTGGGCAGGAGAGATGAACTGTGGCCCATGAATTTCAATGTTGTGTTTAATCCAAAAGCCAAAGTCATTTTTTTTTCTTAGTAAGGTGCTTAAGAATTTGCAAAGCTTTTGCAGTGTATAAACTTCATTTGCATATGTTAATTTTTTGGTGTCTCCGGGCTGCCCAACAGTGAACCAGCTTACTCTGCACATAAAGAATAGCAATGGGAGAGGAAGAGCCAGGTGGCTGGCACTGGGGCTCCCAGGCCAGCCCCACAGGCCCCCACAGTGATGCTTCCAGCTGCTTCCATCCTCGAGGATGGCAAAGTGCACTCGGGGCCATGTTCCTGTGAAAGACCCCAAGGTCACATGCAGGAATTGTTCCTCCCTTATCTTCCCATCTAGCATAAAATGAGAAGACAGATAAGGCAGTGGGGTGTGGTGATTCAAGGCATAAATGCTGAGTTTGGGGTTTCCACTTCAGCTCTGTTGGCAATGAGGGATGGGGTTGGGGGCGCGTTCCAGCACTTCCCTTTGCCCACTTTTTCATGTAGAAAATGGAGGTGACAATATGAGCACAAGGAAGGGATGCTGTGAAGCTTCCTGAGTTAATCAGACACCACCCAGGATTTCACGGGAGCCCAGCAATTGCTCGTTGCTCAGGCCCTTTTCAGCTTCAGTGTTCTGTGATTCTATGGTTGCTCAATACTGGTTAGCATGGATTTCGTATTTAATGCATCCCAGGAAACTCCACATAATATTTATGCAATTAGAAGGTCTGTGGAAAGTGAAATTAGAAGATAAGTTTATTTTGGTACAAAAATGTTTTAAATCCATGAAAATGAGCAGTTTTTCCAAAAGCTCATGAAAATGGGGTATTGTGAAAAAATTATGCATGGATGTCAGAAATGATGTGCCCCAAAATAAATTTCTTATTTTATTTTTGAAAAGAACTATTTGAAAGACCTTGTTTTACATATATTCCATCTATACTCATCTATATGAAATCTTTTTGGATTCTAAAAATGATACTGTAAAACTTACACTATTTTTACAACACAAGACCCCTTTGCAGACAAGGAAACAGTTGTTGTAGATACTTAAAAACTTGCCTTGGATAACACAATTCAAGAGAAACAAAGGCAGAATTAATTCTACTTGAGAGTCAGTCTAACCTTTTTTACCTGTCTGAGAAAGAATAAAATCTTTTCAGAGTTCTGCTTACATAGATTATCAACCCATCCAAACAGATAGACACGAGCAGTTAAGCATTGCCTAACCTGTTCATTGTAATGCCCTTGGGAGATCTAGTACTTAATGATCCCAAGTAGCGAAGTTTCCCTCTGGTTGCAAAGCTGAAGCTTAGGGAGAAAGAGTCAGTCCAAGGCAATAATACCATTCCATTTCAAAATTTACAATTCTGAAAAAAAGCTTCCAGAGCTCCACAATTTTGCAAACTCAGCCACACCACGCAGTACTTACTGTAAGCCTGGAGGGAGCTTATCCGGCTCTTTCATAGCGGAAGGATCTCTGCTGTGATCTCCTTGCTCACCTGGTCACTTTAAGCTCTGGTGCCAGGGTGAGGATTAAGTACAAGCTCTGTCTGAAATCTGAACCAACAGGAAGTTCTTGCGCTATTACCCTTGGAAAGATTTTACTCTTGCCCCAAATTGGACTGGAGGCTGATGGCCCCGGGGAAGTCCTGGGCTCTCGTTCCTCCTGTGGCTTGGCACAAAACTGCCCTTTGTATTCCAAGTATCTAGCACCAAAAACTGAAAGCAAACAGTCATTAAAAAATTCCTACTAGACTTTGGATCACAGCCACAATAACTCTTATTGAGGACAGTGCCAATCCAGCTTTGACCTTTTGCAGTGACTGCCTTGGCAACGATTCCTTTGCTGCCCACCTACCCGTATCTTATGAATGCCCTCCCGGGTAGGGTAGAAAAGACTCCTAGGCACCAGATGAGGAAATAAAAGCTGGCTTCTCCAACACCCCTTTACATTCCAGTAGTTTCCAGGTGGAGTTGCCCATTCATCCCTGCTGGAGGTGTCATCATCAGCAGGCTGGTACTAGGCACCTGCAGGGACACCAACACATGGTTCTTCAAAATAGGCAGGTTACTTTTAGACCTGCTGGGAACTTCTGCCCCTCAAAGAGCCTTTGGTATGTTTTAATTTATATCACAGACTTTCAGGGGAGAAGAGGAAGTACTAAAGAATTTGTATCCTATGGAAGTACAGAGGTTTCATTTTATTCTAATTATGACAGCTGGGCTTGAAATGCGCTCTCTCGTGTATTTATTGTATTATCTTGATAATTTCTCTGAGTTAGTTTTCTTCTCTTCAAAATGGAGTGGGCGTCTAAGATCTTTTAAAATATGAAGTGAGAGCTGATACGAACAGGCCTGTAGCACCATGCTCAAGCAATGGCCAGCAGTTCCCAAGATTATTGCTGTGGTGTTGTTTAGTGTCCTGTGGAGGCTGAAGGTATTGCTGACTTCTCAACTGAGCAACTTAAGGCATGCAGAAATGTATTGATTTGCTCACTTCCTCCCCACGACCATTTTGGCTTGACTTAGGAGAAATAATTTGTTATGATGTATTTCCTGGTTGACTATTTTGGATGCAGTCTTCAATGACTACATTTGATCTTCAGCCAGATGTCACTAGTTACAGCTCTGAGTCGTCCATGGAAAACTTGTGTGAATCCCCACATATAAAGCTATCATTGTTTTAATACTGACAACCAACCAAAAAAGGAGGGGGGAAATTCAGATTTATGTTCCTGGAGTAGGCACCTGTGGCACCACCCTGGTCTGGAATCCCATACGTAAGGTGCCCTGATACATTCTTTTATTCTTACGTGAAGCTTCCTTGTTGACTTTTCAGGCGCAGGATTCCTTCTCAGATTGGAGGAGATGGTTTGATTGACACTCAGAGACGCTATTTGGGGAAGCTATTGCATAGAAGCAACCTGTAAAATAAAAACTAGGAAAGCTTACCAAAAGAGGCACAGACATCAAGCACTAAACTTGTAAAATGCAGTTGTGCCTAAAAACCTAAGCCTCGTTTTCTTTATTAATGATCTCTAATGGCCTGTAAAGGAGATACAATAAGCAACCACCCATTTATTTGAAATGTCACCTGAGTTATCCCATGACTTGCTGCTTAGTCATGGAAGTGCTCTTTCGTACTCCTGCCCCTGCCCCACAATACAACTGAACAGCTTCTCCTGCATGGCAATGTCTGATCTTCACTGGGAATTCCTATTTTACAGAAGACATCTTATCCAATTCCGCTGAGTTTTGCAGTCTAGCATAATAATTATTCCTTGTTGTTAGAGAGCCGAAACAACTTGCTGAAGCTGGTGTGCGGCTGAGAGAAGTCAGAAGCCTTCTAGACTGCAGGTGTTGCTTCAGCCCCAACACCAAGTTCATAGATGCTGGACTGGGGCCAGCTGGGCTGTGCTGCTTGTTGATGGTGTGACATAGCTTGCCAGGTCGGTGGGCCTCACCATCTCGTTTCTGTCCTTTTCTCAAAGAGCTGATGCATTTGATTCAAAGCCAGGGATTTATCCATGTGTGTGTGGCATACTCTGTGCAAGTGGATAATGACTGTCTGTTGGTGCCACTTGAGAAACAATGATGTCTGTCATTCTGTTCAGTGCATTCTCTCTATATCTTTTCTGTGGAACAAAGCATGCAATGGAAGTGACGAGAAGGTTGTACACAGGAAAAATAACAACAAAGGCATTATATATAGGTTTTACTGAGGGAATATTAGCCCAAAACATAAATCATACTCCATTTTCAAGGAGAAATCAACAGAATGTGAAGTATTTCATATGAGCCTCTTCTGCAAATCTAGAAATTGCTGTGTAATTAGGAATGTTTTTGGATGCAAGTTAAGAAAATAACGCTACTCAACAATATTGACTCATCATTTACCATTCATCATGGATGATGTCTGCAATGAGGAAGTTCCAGAATTTTTTTTTTTTTTTGCTTTGTGATGTTAGATGACTGAGCCTATGTCTGTAATTTTCTTGAGCTTTTGTATATGATCGTCAGTTGGTGATCATAAACATGTTTTCACAAGACAGCATCACAAACATCTGGGCAAGACTAGAGGAAAATGGCACTCCATTTACTTTCTACATTAGGAGGAATTTTCCCCCAGGGGCTGAGGAAGTGTTCCCTTTGACATCAGAGTGGACTGGTCCTATGTCATCTTAAGGCCAATCACTGGCCAAGAGAAAATGAGTTCTCATTGCCTTGGACCAATCGTAATCCTTTGCCTGATCCTCTAAACACTAGCAGGGCTTTGCTGGCCGAGGAGACACACTCACCTGGCTGCTGACTCCCCCTCCAGGCCTGTGTCTGAGAACTCTACTCCATGCACTTGGCCCTTTGTGCTCCTGCTTCTCACTCAAAGATCGCTTCACAGCTATGCTTCTCTCATCCAGCAAAGCCAGATTCCTTCATGTTACATTATGCTGGAGGATAAATTTAGGTGTTACTCCTTAACTTCAGAACACACTTTACTGTTTGTAAGTTTACAGTCATTCGATGATTGCTTTAATGCCCATCCTTTCTTCCATGAGATGCTATAATCCATTGGGATTAGTACTGTGTTCATTTCTGCCTGGCATTGTATCCCCAGCTTAAATGTCCAGCCCACTGTTTATTGTATGCTACTATATTATCAGATATTATTTTATGGATAAATAGATACGTGAAAAGATGAATATTTCTTTTTTAAGTGTTTGTTTTCATTTTATTTATTAGAAAGAGAGAGAGAGCATTCCCATCTATGTGTTTACTCTCCAGACACTGACAATGGCTGGGGATGAGGTAGACTGAGCTGAAACCAGGATGCTGGAATTCAATCCAGGTCTTTCATGTGGGTGTCAAGGAACCATCTATCTGTTTCAGCCAACTCTGCTGCTTCCCAGGTGTGCATAAGCATCTGATTCTAATTTGAAATTAGAACCAGAGCCAGGACTTAAATCTGTGGGGTGTAGGCATCTCAAACGGGGTCTTATCTACTGCACCAAATGCTGCCCTTCTTTATCTTAATCTCCTCTTTATCTCTTTCTTCCTGTGCTGCTCTGGTCGTTTGTTTCATTATTAGGCAGCTGTGGCTTTGGCCTGAGCCCAGCCCTGGCTGTTGTGAGCATTTTGAGAATAAACCAGCAGGTAGATCTCTGTCTGCATCTCTGTACCTTTTAAATAAAAAGATAAGAAATTGAAAAAAAAAAAAAGCTTTAGGTCAAAGATGAAAGAAAGGGTAAGAATCTGGAGAAATTAAAGAGAGATGGCACAGAGCCCAGCCACAGAGTTGTGGGGGACCCCCTATCCCCTGCTGGGCCACTGCTCCTGCTCCTGCTAGTGAATGTGAGAGCTGGGACAGACCAGGCTGAGCAGGGCTACAACACCTGTTGGCCTACATGTGAGTTGGGTTAAGAGTAGAACCAGGTTGAGCTAACTGATTATGTTCACTGGTTCATTCATGAGCCAGAGTAAGGGCAGGTGTGTTGGGCTTTGTTGAAGCAGCAGCAGGCAGGTGCTGGGACTGGGGGCAATTCCTGGGGAGTTAGACTGTAGTACCACCTGGAGAGTGGTAAGATCCAGTGGCAAGATCCAGGGCAGGTTATGGGTCCAGTGGGGAGGCTGTGGGTACCTCTCTGATGGGATGCAATTCCTACTGCTGAATATGAGAATCAGAGCAGGGGGTGGGCCTGGCTGGATAGGCCATGGCACCCACTGGCATAAGTGTCAGTTGGGTTGAATTAGGCTTCAGTGCCCAATGATGGATATGACATCTGAATGGGATGTGGTGCAGATCCAGTCCACTGCACATGCTGGCAGGCACAGAAACTAGAACTAGGTGCTGGTCCAGTGGGAGTTATCTGGGGTTACTCTGGCTGGGCTGTAGCTCTGCCTGCTGTACAAGAGGGCGGAGTGTGGTGGGCAGGGCTGGACTGGGCTACAGCACCCATTGGTTTACAGAGGAAGGAGGGCAGAACAAATTGATCAACTACCCAGTGAAGTTTGACAACGAATTTCTGGGCAAATGGAGACTCTGAGGTGGACTATGTCAGCCAATTTACCCTGGAAGATTTCCTCATCCTTGGAGCAGCAATATCAACAGCATCTCAGAACTATCCAAACACATAAGCAGAACTCTCAGAAAATGCTCCACAATGGGGACCCTGGGATGACATCAGGTGGCTGTTCCCCATCCTTGGGTACTGAGAAGGTTGGGAGGCTGGGCATGGTTTCTCCCCTTGCATTCCAGCCTCCCCCAGATACAGGAAGAAGAAAAAGAAATTGTGTAAACAACGGTCTTGCCCAATTTCCCCTGATCCTTGATCCTTGACCATTCCCACCCTGATCAACTATGTAAACATAATCAGAAAAAAAAAATGGATGGCACAAACCAGCAGGAAGGGTAAAGGGTGGTGAGAACATGTTCGGTTATGCGGTGTTGAAGGGAATATAGTGGCCGAGCT